ATGAATTTTTTTGTTAATTAAGTGATCATTCCTGCTTGACATTCATTTTGCCTTCACCGGGTCATGGGGTGAATTTCATTACTCTTTCAGGCATTTCACATGCAGTGAATGATAAAATTTGAAGTTTGATCCTAAATTTTGCAACAAGATTTTACTAGTTGAATTTCATGTGTAATATCACAGTAAATATTCAGTGTAACATCTACATCAGTAAGTACAGAAACTATACTTATTCTGTAAAAATCAGAGAAGGCAGCGTTGAATTGAGCATGAAGACAGTGAGCATTGTCTCTCTGGAGATATTAAGTGGAGCTTAGATGACCTGTTAAAAGAGAGTATGCGAATCAATTGGTATGGAGAGAAAGGGTTAGGATAGATGGCCTTTAGGACCCTTTTAGACTTTAATAAGATTGTATGACTCTGTTTAATTTGGGGTTTCTCACCACCCATTTCTCTCCAGGAGGTAATTTCCTTAGGACTCCATTACAGTAGTCTCTGTTCATATAAATATTAGCCAACCAGACTCCATAAAAAATGTTTTTCTCTTGCTGCACGAATTTTGGAGCTCAGGAAACTTGAACTGTGTGATCTTAAAGAAATTACTTAGCATTTCTGGACTTCAGTTTCTACATCTATAGTGAGAATAATGGAGTTAATAAAAATTTTTAGCACACATATGAAGTTTCCCTATAAATTATAGAATTTTCAAATTCTTGTGCATTCTATTAACTTAGGGTATCATAGACTTCTCAAACATTTTGATGTTTCTTGGTGACCATGTGTAAAAGTTTTGTGAAGATATATTCACAAGATTATAATATCTATATGTATGTACATAATTTTATATAGATTCACTTGTTTTACAAAGTTGTTTTGAAATTAGATTGTACTTCTTTATATGCCAACTGATATTAGAATTCCTATAGTTCTACATCATCTTTAGAATTTGATATTGTTATACTTTTAAATTTTTTGTTTGATGCTTATGAAATACTAGTTTATGGTTTTAATTTGCATTTTCTGATAGGTACTGAGACTGAGCTGCTTACATATATTTGTAAGTTACTCATATTTCCTTTTCAGAAGTGCCCCTTATGTTTATTTCTTCTATTAGAGAAATTTTTCAGATAATTTATTCTTCTTTAAACTATCATCTTCCCAGTTGCCAAGTCAGGTAACCCAGTGAGTTATCTTTGAATCCTCCTTCTCCTTTAACCCTTAAAACTAATAATTGCCAACAATTATTGAACATTTACTGTGTAAATGTTATCCACATTTGCTATGTGGATAATATATCTCCCTAATGGTCCTGTGGGATTATGCATTTTTCTAAGTGCTTTACCTGTACTATCTCATTTAATCCTTCAAGCAGTCTTCTGGGCTAAGGTACCCAATCTTTATATGCAAATGAAGAAATCAAGGCATAGAGCAATTAAACATTTGGCCCAAGTTCACAGAACAGAGCTTCAAAGAAGTGTGCTCTGAAAGCTTGTTTTTTTCCTTTAAACTATGTTATTTTTTATGTTGTGTATAATTAAAACTCCATGTTTTTAATAAAGTTAATTTTTAAAACCTTGACTTTTCTGGTAAAATAATACACTTACATGAATATATTTCCATCTTTCCCATGTTGATTTTGTTTTATTAATGATTGTAATTTTACATAATTTTTTTTTTTTTTTTTTTAGCAAGAATTTTTTTTTTTTTTAATAGAGGCATGTTTTATTTATTTATTTATTTGTTTTGTTTGTTTGTTTATACATGCACTGGGTACAGTTAGAAGTGCGGGAGGGTGAGAGAATTCACCAGAGCCAGAGTGGGGAGCAGAGCAGGCAGAAGGACCGAAATACACTGCTGAGGGGAGCAGCGGGCGGCAGGAGAGGTCTGCGCACCATGCGGGACCCTCCTCCGGTGGCCGGAGAGCAGCCGGGGATCGAACCGGTGCCGCAGAGGCCACGGGCAGCTTCGCAACCCAGCGCTCAACCGCTGCGCCACCGGGGAGGCCCTTTACATAATTTTTTTTACTTAGTCATATCTTAAATATAATTTAATGACTGTATGATATTATATGATCATCTTTTAATGAATTGTTTACTACTTTTACATATTCACAAGTTTTTTTTTTTTTAAAGATTTGTTTATTATCTATTTTTTTATTTATACAAGCACTGGGTACAGTCAGAAGCGCGGGAGGGTGAGAGAATTCACCAGAGCCAGAGCGGGGAGCAGAGCAGGCAGAAGGACCGAAGTACACTGCTGAGGGGAGCAGCGGGCGGCAGGAGAGGTCTGCGCGCCATGTGGGACCCTCCTCCGGTGGCCGGGGAGCAGCCGGGGATCGAACCGGCGCTGCAGAGGCTGCGGGCAGCTTTGCAACCCAGCGCTCAACCGCTGCGCCACCGGGGAGGCCCCTCACAAGTTTTTTTTTTAATATCTTCCCTGTGCCAGGCACAATTCTAAATTTTATAGAGTGGGAAACTAATCAAAGATCCTGCCCACACGGAATTTATATTCTAATTGGCTATGGGACTACAATTTTGTATTCATGGAGAAAAATTAGAGGGATGTGGAAAGTGCTGGGGAAGGGAAAATAAGATTAGTATTTTATAAAGAATGATCAATAGAAGCCTCTTTGAGCAGGCAACATTAGAGCAGAAGTACAGATATCTGAAGGAAAAGTATTCTAGACAGTACTAACCAGAAGTTAAAAGACCTGAGGTGGGAGCATACTTGATATATGACAGGAACAGAAGAGAGGACAGTGTGGGCTGGAGAGAACTCCCCGAAAGGGAGACTAAAGGAGAGTCAGAAATGGGGAGAGGGGGCGCAGATCACATGTGGCTTTGTAAGCCAGTATAGGAACTTTTCTGAGTGGGTCAAGAAGCTTCATTGGGAGGACTTTGAACAAATGAGAGACATAATGTTAAAAGACTCATTCTGATTGCTATGTGGATAATGTATCTCCCTAATGGTCCTGTGGGATTATGCAAAGATGACCACACAGTTAGCCTCCAGTAGAAATAGATTTTGGTTGTTTAAAAGAAACATGTAGGAAGAACTGTTTCCCTCAAGAACAAGTGCACATACTCTGTGATAACATATTTGGGTGGATAGTTTTTTTTAATACATGGGTTGCTTAGTTGCTTCCAATTAAGGTATCTTAATTTTACCACGTACACCAATTTTATATACCATAGAAGCATTTTCTCGAGCATGCTCTACTCAGAATCACTTTAGTCACAAATTAAATTAAGGCTTTAATTTTAGATTAAGCTTTTTATACTTTCATCTTCCTTCAGAGTGAGTTTCTCTTGTTTATGTAAATAAACTTGTTAGCAGCACAGGACTAGAGAAGGGACTCCTAATACAATGAGAACCCCTAAGCTCTATGTCACATTAAAACTTGACTTCTTTCATTTCTTTACTGTTTCCTTTTTATCCCCTTCACCTTATTTCATCCTACCAGTGGATTGTTACTTGCTTATGCCCCATTTTAAGATGTATTTACACATTTACATATTTCATTTAATAAACTTTCAATTTTTAGCTTATTGGAATCTTTTGAGTAGTCATTTCATACACATTCTTTCCTTTATTAGAAAAACTCATCCAAAGATGAAAACTAAGTCCATTATCTTAATTAATACCAAGACTCTTGAGATAGCTTCAAATTACATACCTTTCCTGAAGATGTACAGCTATCTTCAGAACTTTGGGGCCTTACCTCTACTTTATTGTGTGCCAGCTGTGACTAACTTACTTTGCTCTTTTTTGGCAGGCAAGTTCATTAACTTAGATAAATGCAGTCTTCCATGGGGAGCAGACAGTGCCTGAGCAGCAACTCAGAGGCAGAGGCAGGTTTAGTGAGTGGTAACTGGTGCTAATAACAATAGCAAAAAAAAAAAAAGGTGCATTTTTCCAGAGCAAAGAACCTCAGGTATTCTAGCATAGCTTTCTAGGCTGCATAACCTTGAATTTAGACCTATCAGAATGCCTGGAAGATAGTCAGTCATGGCAGTGGCCTAAGTAGAAATCCTATTGAATAAGGTGTATTCTTTGCCCTGCCAGGAAATAGTCATGGAAATTGTCTTGCCTTGTGAATTGAGAAGATCATGAAATAACTGAAAATCACCTTCTAAACTAGGTGATTACATTTCTCACAAACCAAAATAGGCTAATTATATAATGAAATTCTAAATTCCCATTTTAAAACATGCTTGCTTTCCTAAAGTGGTGCTGATAAAATGTTTTGTGTAAATTATTATTACTGTTCCCCCCACCCTGTTTCTTCCTTATGAATTAATTCAATTAACATTTATTAGAATATATTAAAAGAAAATATATTTCTAAAATATCTAGATTTCAGAAAGAAAATAGGATGATTTGGGAAAGTTAGGCAAAAAAATTACCTGCTAAAGTGGTTAAAAACGTCTCTTCTACAAAACACAGAAAAAGCCCAGTATGACAAAATAAGGTAATTTTAGATTCTTCATATCTGAAAACCTTCTAAACTAGGTGATTAGAATGCTAGCACATTTAGTGGGGTTGTAGCTTATTGATGGGTTCAGAAATTGATAATTTGCAAAATCATACTGTAAGTCCCTTGGGAAAACATTACACTGGAGTTCAACAGTTTTAAAGAGTCAAATTATATGAGTGGCTTGTGTTTAAACACTACACTGTCTTTCAGCCCTAGAATCACTGTAGAGGTGCTCAGACAATGAGAGGTATATGAACTTTTGATCAACTGAGAAACTAAAAATTCACACCATCCAGGTCATGCTTACTTCAGGCATATGTTCATTGAGAATCAGATTGCCCATGCTATTTTTATAGTAAACAGTCATTTTCCTTTTATTGCTGAACTTATTATAATTAAAATTTTTAGAAATTCTTGAAGATACAACCCTGCAGTATGTGATTATGTATTTATGTTGAATACATATGAATTTTTTTCATTCAAATGGGAAAGAATGATGCTATCATTCCTTTATTCTCTATAGATAATGGATCCAGAATTAATGCACAGTATAGTAGGAAGCTATTCTAAACCGCCAGAAAGAGTGTTTGTTCCATCATTCACCCAGAGTAATGAAACATCTCAGACTCACCACTCTGTGAACTTAGATGTTAACACTACTAAAATGCTTCATAGTCCAAACAGTCAAGGTAATGTTAACAAATTTTATTTAAAATTGGGGGATAATATATAAAATATATATAAAATATTTCATTTTTATGTGAAAAACTGTATTAATCTTAATAAAACTAATTTTGATTTTATTGCTAAAAGTTTCTATAAACTGAGACGAGTCACTTGACTTTTTTTTTTTTTTTTGGCTTCTTCAGCTATAAGATGACCATTAGTATAACCAGATAAATATATATATCACAGACTTATGAAAACATCATTAGAAAACAGAAGGATACACTTTTTTTTTTTATTTGTGTTTGTTTTTTGTTTATACATCACTGGGTACAGTCAGAAGCACGGGAGGGTGAGAGAATTCACCAGAGCCAGAGCGGGGAGCAGAGCAGGCAGAAGGACCGAAGTACACTGCTGAGGGGAGCAGCCGGCGGCTGCGCGTCATGTGGGACCCTCCTCCGGTGGCCGGGGAGCAGCTGGGGATCGAACCGCCGGCGCAGAGGCTGCGGGCAGCTTCGCAACCCAGCGCTCAACCGCTGCGCCACCGGGGAGGCCAGGATACACTTTTATATGCTGCTGTCTAAAAAGGTTAACTTAAAATAACAGTGATTTTTTTTCAACAGCTCTTATTTTAGCATTAAAAAGTCTTCAGCAAAAGATTCACCGTTTAGAGTTAGAAAGGACACAAGCAGAAGATAACCTGAACATTCTTTCCAGAGAAGCAGCACAGTATAAAAAGGCCTTGGAGGATGAAACAAATGAGAGAGATTTGGCACACCAGGAACTGATAAAGCAGAAAAAAGGTAAGAAAATTCAGTATTTCTCAGAAACAAGAGGTTACCAAAGTTTACAATTTAACAAGCCCTGTCTAAATAAATTTCTTATGTCCATTCAGAGCTTGAGGTTTTATTCCCAGACATTTTGATATTTTCAGGAAATGGATATGAACTTATACCTCTATCATACCTGTTGCCATAGTAAATAAATTCTTGAGATTAAAAGAAAAATTAAGGTTTTAGACAAATTGTGTTTAGAAGTCAGAACATTTTTATAATACTAACACACTCTAATCCAAATTCATTTTATTTGCTTTTTTAAATTAACATTGCTTTACAACACTGTATATAATTTAGGGGAAAGGTTCCTGCTTTGCTGTTCACTACTGTTTGCCCTCTGCAATCAAATTCTAAGTCATATTCTGCAATCATATTTCTAGGTTAACCCATAATTTAATTGAAATTGAATTATAATTTAATTGTAATACTTTATATTTTCAGTTAACAGTTTTTTAAAACTTGAAAACAAAATATAATTAAGCAACATAAAATAAAAATTGCAGAAAGAATTTTATGTAACTTGAAATCAATTAGTGGAAATGAACAGGAAAGTGGAGGTTTCTGTTGAAATTATGAAAAGGATAGCTGGATACATGTTTTATAGATTTAGAACATGTTTATGTCATTTTACTTTAAAACATAACGCTTTCTTTCTCCTTGTAACACTAAATTCACCTTCATACACAAGGTTCAGATTTGAGTTCCAGCTTATGATCAGAATGAAGAAATAGGGAGAAAAAAATTTCTGAGGTAATTGGACAAAGTCGGGGGCGGGAGAGGAGGGATTGGGATCAGAATGGGGGGGGGGGGTTGCAATTGTATGGGGAATATAAAAATAAAAAAAAAAGTGAAAGAAAAAACTGAAAAAAGTAAAAACGGTATTAGAGATTGCTTACACTTTATAGAATTAACTGTGCTATCAGTAGTCAAGAGGAAGGAACATGGAAATGGTAAAATATATATTGCTTAGTTTCCTGAAAGAGAAGAAATGTATCGATAGGGAAGAGACTTTAGGTCCTGTATATTTCTTTCAGTGCCATTTCCTAGGAGCAGCCAGGATTTTTTACTATCCTGCCCTTTGGGTCTTTAGGAGACAGTGTTAAGCTAAGTACATGTAGTTCATGATATTCACAAAAATATTGTTCTTAACTCTGGAAGAACTAAAGAAACCTTGAACTTTTGGCTATTTGTTGTGAAATCAATGAATTGACTCATCATTACTTTCTCTTTTTCATAGGTATAAGTATACAATTAAGTTCAGCCCAGTCTCGCTGTACTCTTCTAGAGAAGCAACTAGAGTATACAAAGCGAATGGTTCTCAATGTAGAACGAGAGAAAAATATGATCCTAGAACAACAGGTAAGCATATTTTCTATAAGAAATATAATTTTATGTTTTTTTGAGGGATATTTAACATAGGAAAATTGCCATAACTTAAGGATATAAAGCTGTACATAAGAAATTCCATTTACAGTGATCCAGAGGGACTAACCTTTCTGTAGATGGAAAACAGGAAGGACTGAATAGAATATTTAAAAAGGAAGGAAGGGAAGAAGGGAAAGAAAAAGACAAAAGGCAGAAAAGGAAAGAAATACACAAATGCCTTTGAGGATTAACAAGGGGATGGACGAAAAACCACCATTTCAAAACCTATGTGCAATAATAAGAGAGTGAGGAAGAGAAAGGAAAAACTATGCAAAGACATTGGAGAGATTAGTAGTCTTATTAAAATTACAGTAAGTCACAATATCAACAACAGGAGTTGCTGCTCAGGAGATTATAGAGTCCCATTACAAACTAGATTTCATGATGGCCAAGTCCTGGGGAATATGTAGGCCTGCTAGGGCGATCTCTGTGAGTTTAACAATAACTCTTTAAATATTTATCCATCACAACTCCACTGCTCAGAATCACCTAATATCTACTGTGTGCATTTCACAGTCTGTTTGGATGAATGGCAATCACTTTGAAGAAAAAAAAAATAGTCCCTTTAAACATGTATTTGTCTGGCAGTCTTTATCTCATCATCATTGGTGAGGGATATTTTCACTGGACATAGGATTCTAATTGACAGTTTTTTGTCCCCAGCACATTAAAAATGTTGTCTTCTAGTTTTTTGTAGTTTTCTAATGAGATTTGTTGTCTTCATTCTTCCATGAATAATGCGTTCATCATTTCTCAGACTTTTAAGTTTTCCCTTTATTGCCAGTAAACAATTTGATAATCATACACTGGTACGTAGTTTTCTTTGTATTTATTCTCCTTAGAGTTTTGTTTTTTGAGATTCTTGAATCTGTCAGTTAATAATAGTTTTCATCACATTTAGAACAGTTTTATCTATTATCCTTCAAGTAATTATTCTTGTTCCACTTTTCTTGCCTCTGTTTCTGTAACTCCAGTTGAATACTCCAGGTCACCAAGATTCTGTTTGTTGTTTCTCGGTTTTGTTTTTTAATAGACTTAATTTTTTTAGAGCAGTTTCAAGTTTATAGAAAATCAAGCAGATAATACAAGGAGTTCTCATATACCCCTTGCCCCCTCCTAGTAGTCTCCGTTATTAACATCCTGTATCAGTTTGATAATTAATACTATTACAGAGTAGTATATAGATATGCATATATGTAACACATGTTTAACTTTTCTTCCTGTCCTATGTATGCTTTATTCCTCCGATGGCTGATTTTTTAGTTTCATAGAGGGTAAATCAGTAAGTAGGTTTGGTTACCTTGTCAATAACACTTTAATACAGGTCTTACTGATGTTTTTCTTAGTAGAAATGTTTATAAAGATGCATAAAAGAGTTTGTTCCATTGCTACTAATAATATAGCACATTATTTTTACACATTATATTTTTTAAAAAATAAATTTGAGTTCTTGGTTTTTGTTTGCAAGCACCTAATGCATGTAAAGTATGTATGTGATTCTCATGGCAGATTTATATTGTGCTTTGAATTTTCAGAAATTGCATTATTCTTGAGCCATTGACATCACTTGCCAATTCAGGTTTTGTTTTTATCCTCTCCAGGCTCAGCTTCAAAGGGAGAAAGAACAAGATCATATGAAGCTGCAAGCAAAACTCGAAAAGCTGGATATCTTAGAAAAAGAATGTTTTAAACTTACAACAACACAGAAAACTGCCGAGGTAAGCTTCTACTTGTTTCTTTGAAGTGGTAATGCCAGGAATAAATCTTAAGTGTTAGAATAATTGGCACTGTATGTGAATATGTACAGTAAATCTTAGATTTATAAAACTTCATTTAATAAGTTTTAGTAAGACAGATATGAATTCCTGCCTAAAGAGATGAAAAGTTAATATCTTGTCACAGCATGACTGAGTTTGCCTTTTTATGTGAAATTATAATTTTGATTTCTTGTGAAATGGCAGAACATTTTCATTTGTCAAATAATTTACCTAAAGGATAAATTTCACTGCTTACAAGTCAGTTAAACCTATCCCAGATCCTGTCCTGAAATGCCCTCTTTTTCACCCAAACCTTATTCATTTCATAGAACTTCACCAAGGCTATTTCTTCTGTGAAGCCTTTTTTGAATTCTTCAGCACTCAGGAAGCTTTCCCTTTGAAACAGGACTGTCCTCCTATTTTCAGGCACACCATGGATATAAGATGAAATACCTTGTCTTTATGGTTACACAGTGTATACATCGTCTGTGTCACATCATATCCGTTGCTTTGTTGTTTTGTTTCATGTGTGTTACTCTTGTTCCCGAAGTGCAATGTAGATTATTAGGTAAATAGGACCCTATCTTATATTTCTAATAAATGTTTGTTTCTTCCCTTTTCCAACAACTTTGACCTTGTCACATGCACATGGTAGACTATTGTAATTTGTCTATTTGTAATTTGACTATTGTGATTTGAATGAAACACTGACATTTTAAACTATAATTGTTTGACCTAGACTTTGAAAGATTTGATCATTATGGTTTTGTTTCTGGAAGTTAAAGCCTATATGTATACATTCTTTGCTTTCCCTTAGAAAGCCAAGACAAATCTTAGTATATTTTGCCATTCCTAAGATAAACAGCTGGGACTGCATCAAATTAAAGAGCTTCTGTACAGCAAAAGAGATAGTAACCAAAACAGACACCCCACCAACTGGGAGAAAATTTTTGCACACAACACTAATGATAAAGGACTGATCACAAAAATCTACAAAGAGCTGAAGAGACTCAACAAAAACAAAGTAAATAATCCAGTTAAAAAATAGGCAAAAGAGCTAAAAAGGAACTTCTCCAAAGAGAAAATGCAAATGGCCAACAGGCATATGAAAAAATGTTCAGCATCACTTGTAATCAGGGAAATGCAAATCAAAACTACAATGAGATACCATCTTACACCAGTGAGAAAAGCACATATTAAAAAAAACTAGCTGCAACAAATGTTGGCAAGGATGTGGAGAAAAAGGAACTCCTGCACTGCTGGTGTGAGTGCAAACTGGTCCAACCACTGTGGAAAGCTGTGTGAGATTCCTCAACCTGCTAAAGATGGAACTTCCATATGATCCAGCAATTCCACTTCTAGGTATTTACCCAAAGGACACAGAATCATTAATTCAAAAAGGCACATGCACCCCTATGTTTATATAGCAGCACTATTCATAATAGCTAAGCTATGGAAACAATCCAAATACCCAAAAATAGATGACTGGATCAAGAAGATGTGGTACATATACACAATGGAATATTACTCAGCATTCAAAAAAGATAAACACATGCAATTTGCAGCAACATTGATGGAACTAGAAGGGATCATGCTCAGCGAAATAAGCCAGAAAGAAAAAGAAAAATACCAGATGGTCTCACTCATAGCAAGAATTTAGAAAACCTAAATAAGGGACCAGAAAAAAGATTAATTATCATAAAGTAAAAATCAAAATCAACAAGCAACTATAAACCAGAGACTCACTATGGGGGGGAGGAAAGAGGGATTAGGGTCAAAATAGGGAGGTGGGGGGATTGTATGGGGAATATAAC